TTGACCATTATAGAAGCAAAGGAACCCGGTGTCACCAGCTCTTCCGTAAAAGGTAAAGTCATGCTGACGTCATAGTTCGTAATTTCTCTCCTTACTGTTGCTAGAAGTACAGCCTACGATTTCGGCGGATCTCAAGTCGTTGACAGACATCGACGACAGCGTTATCAAGGTTTCTTGGACTGTCACAAAGGGCATTCCTCTTGATTGGGTACATTGTGACGTATGTGATAAGTCTGAATGATTATCATATCATACTTTCAAAGGATTTGATCATATTTTATACCGACAACTTGTCCTTGCCAGTGGACAGCTGGCACTTCGTGATAGCAGATCAAACCGATTCGTTTGGAAAATTCATAGGTATTCTGCGTCGTCCAGTTACAATATGCATGAGGTTGCGTAATAGCTACGGTTTCGGTCCGTTGTCCAATTGCCTCAATTCTTCTGGTTAGTTCAGGCTGCATTATCGGCTGCTTTACATCGAATTTGTCGTGTTCTCTATTGCAGCAAATTTTGGAAAATTCCAAGAACAACTTTCATCTGTGACCCTGGATAAAGCCTTTACGGAATGCAATCAAACAATGGATAAGTATCGATGTGGAAGTAAGTAAAACTTGATTTAAAATATTTAAAACATTACGTTAAAAACTGATTATCCGAAGAACTTGCATTAAGAATCATAACTTTATCATTTCTTGTTTCCATAGTGAATATTGTATTGTTATGAACCCACTGAACAGTATGACCAACTTATCCGTGGTGTTCGAAATATATTATGGGTAAAGGATAAATTAAGAACCGCGGATAAGACCGTTATGCACTAACTATCCACAACGCAGTGGTGAATCTCTTCTCCTTCTGTGCTGTTCCTTGCAATAGCCATGCGGGACCTTTGTTGAAGCACAATCTTCGCAAAATTCGGTTAAGAGGCTGTGGTATTGTCTTCCTGGTCACAAAAGACAAAATTTTGCTTTTGAACCATGGTTCAAAGATTCGTTTGGTGGAATGAGGTAGTCAGCAATTGACACCACATATCAACATCTTGTTGATTAAAATAAACGTGCTTATGCGATGTTATCACCCAAGAGTTACCAAATATTGGCCATACAGAGAATATAAATATGTTGCTTACTCTTCATTTCCCGTTATTGTTCATCAAGCATGGCAAGACCTCAGTCTGTCTAGCACTTAACTCACTGCTCTCTTCAGCTTGACGAAGCTGTTTCGTGACGTTTTCGTTGGACATTAATATGGGCGGGGCTTTGAATACTATCTTGCAAATTAGCTATCATTGTGTCTCTCGTGTAGGCAGAGGCTCCTTAACATATTACATTTACATTGTTTGTTCTACAGGGCTGGAACACTGGTTGCTGCGCGTGTTCCATTAAATTTTAGCTTTGTGAATATTACGAATGCAAACAGAAAACCCCTTTTCATTTTTCGACACCCAATAAACTAGCCTCAGCGTGCCCAGGTCTAATCTATGCATAATAAAGTGTATGGAATTTCATATTCCTATGATGGCCGTGAAGGCCAATTGTAAATTCTGAAACGTAGGCTTGAGTTATTGCGGTTTACATGCTGCGTGTTTATTTTAAAGCTAAGGGGAAACGTTTCCCATACAGAGCTAGTCGGAATTATTGAAAGCTTCATCTTTAAATTTTGGTGTAAGCGAAGGGAAATTTTCACCGCAGTCTACAAAGTAAGATGCCTCATATGCAAAACTGAGAAAATGCACGAACTGTGCACTAAATGATATCAGGGTTTGCCATAATTCAGTGAGATAGAAATATCTTGAGAGAACGTTCGGGGTGTAGTGATAAATGTGAACTTCGTTAATCCTTCGTTGCAAACTTTTCGAATATTTAGTATTTTACAGAGGTTTAAAACTGTTAACGTTTTAGGTAAAAAACTTTCGCTTTCATTAAGTTCAGTTTCTTTTCATATCACGCCAATACTTTGTTTTACAATTTATTCAAAGGCTGAGATTAATGCTAAATGCAGCAATGGTGCCGGTAAGGAAGAAATTAATCTGAATTTAATACTTTTCTGTGTAGGAATGGCCAAAATGTAGACAGCATTATGAATTGTCATGTTTTTAAAGAATGAAAATACATACAATGACTCTTATTCTCTGTTGTTTTGGATTATAAAAGAGCATGCTTTTTTGAGCAAATTTCCGGTGTTGTACAGAGAGCTGGTTTTCTTGACTCTTTCTCATTTACCATTGTTATTGACTGAGAAGAATATATTACACCATATTTTTTCTTACCTACTATTTGATACATTTATTAACCTTTGCCCTCATCAACATGATAACTTTAACGCTTTTGAAGAGCTAATACGTCATTGTCCAAAGTAGTAATATGCTTACTCTGATGTACTACAGAGGTTATGTCGTTTATGCATAAAATGCTTTGAGAAAAATAATATTTTGACCTTGTGATCACTAGGCATTGCAATCACAGTAAAATTTGCGGAAGACCAGTTCGGAAGTTCAAATCTAACTGAAGTCATGGAACCCGAGTCTTTTCATGAAACTTCGGAAAGAACCCATCCAATCAACATCTCTTTATCGTCCAAGACTTCTGGAGATCAAAATCTTTCGCTTCAGAGCTTTCATTCGATTCCTGAAGGTGCTGATACAGAAGCGGACACTGCCTTGACGACCTCTATTGAAGACGACGTGAACGTCGTTAATGAAGTGGTAAAAAGTACCACTGTGGAAACCCTTCAGCATAGTGAACCTAGGAAGGGGCGTGATTATGTGAAAGAACTTCTTGAAATGTCGCAGCCACCTGCCAGCGACCTTGAGTCAAATAAGATGTCAGGCGTTAGCGGAGAAAACCATCTCGCTGAAAGCAGAGGAAGTATGTTGAATGTTTCTGATGTTTTGGTATCGACCACCAAAAAGCACCCGAACAATACTACTACACACAATGCCGACGGCGGCATTGGCTTGATCAGCGTGCTTCATCCTCAAATTAAGGAAGCCGTTAACTCTGCTGCTAATCGAACAGTGCACAGAAGAGTTTCTAACTCGTCGAATTTCCCTTATGATCAAGCGGTTTCGGTTCGACCTACTGAATACATATCTTCCAACACAAACGCCAAGCACTATATTCGCAGAGGGCGAAAGAAATCTGAACTGGTCGTCAAAGAGTCCCGTCATGTACAAATGGTATCGACGAACATCGTCAGTGCCGCCGGTCATCGTTCAAAACAAGGGGAAGTTCAGGTTACACACGTGGAGAGTAAAAGTACCCTAAATTCGACCCATCATTTCGAAACGTGGTTTTCTGAACGACGCTCTGAGGAGCAGCTAGACCATCAATACGAGCTGCAAAACGTGGTTTCGAACGGTCCTTGGCCTTTATTCGACGCTTCCGGAAATTCTTCCACTTCCGGAAAAGTTCACCAAAGCACGGATGTTGATTCCTGCAACTGTTCTTGCCAAAATCCCCAAGCAACAAGTCCCCAACAACGGACAAATTTTGACCGAAAGCCGCCACTGCAACACCTATTCACCGGACTTGTGAAGTTTTCACCAGCTGCGGACAACCATCCCGAAAATGTTAACACTCAGAGAATCGAGTGCGATCACTGCCCTCCGCTGAAAGGCGTCATCTGTCTGCCTGGTTTTGTGGAAATCAGTGGCATTTGCGCAGGTAAGTTGTCTGTCGCCTCTTTACTCATTCTGTTGTTCTAGGCGTTTCTATTAACTGATTTCTAATTCACGCCATAAAGTCTATTAATCACGTAATTTCCAATGAAGTTAAATCGAGGTTCCTCGGTTCCTCGATGGACCTTCAGACTGAGAACCAAAAGGTTAAGAATTCGAGGTCTACTTAATCATTCGCTTTTCTTCCTTCTGAGTATTATAAAACAGTATCACTTTACAAGAAAGAAGCAGGACGCATCACGTTGTGCTTTCACATAACTGAATTTTTGCCGTTACAGTAAGGCCTTTCACGCTGATGGCATTGAAACGGAGATCAGCGCCGCACCATAAGCTCAATCCTAATCTTTAATGGGTCCCATAAATACTGTAGAATCCTGAAAGTGTGAGACCTATTTTTCAACAGTAAAAAACATTTCATTTGTTCCTTCCTTTGAACGAAGTTCAGCGGCATTCCTTCCTTCAAGCGGCATTTGATTCTGAAGATCATGCGGGAAAGATTTTGGCAAATCGTGTTACTTTGTGTGAAGTTAGTAATGGTTTCTCTGCTCCCTTAACCACGAGTGACTGACTCAGCTGGTTCCGATGACATCGGGTATAGTGAGGTATGACTCAGCATGGTCGCGAGCCAGGTCTGTCTTCAGTGAGAGCCATTTTGCCCTCCATCTTAGTAATCGGTGGACGCTGGCTCTCGAAGAAGTCGCCTTTCACTGCATCTACCCAAGTCCTGATTTGAGCACCCTTTCACTGACACTGCAGAGTGCTGAGAACGACAAACGATGTTTTAGATAAGTTGTAATCTCCTGGGGCCGCTGTAGAACACGTTAAAGTGAGCACAACTGATGTTGGTGTATTACAATTGTGATGATTGCAACATTGCGGCTAATTCAGGCTTTTAAGTTCAACACCTTACGTACTCGTGTACTCACTGCAGGATACAAAAGTACCAATGAGAAAATACTTTTAACTTCCTCATACCTTTAGCAGGGAACGTCCAGCATTCGGAGGCTTGCAGTAAAATTGATCTCACACTGGCTTTTGTTGCGAGAATGCTTTCGAACGCTTCTAACAAGGACTGAGTAGCTGAAAAAGCAATCGCCTCACGGTTAGAGTCCGCAACCGACAGACTGTTACGAAAATAAGTCAGTAGTAGCCACGACTCAGAGTATGGAAAAATTCCTTGCTCAGGAGGGTATAGCATTAAGTGCCGGATTCATTTGTCGGTGCACAATTATAACGTTAAGTTCACAGTACCAAGAACGAGGGAAGAATCATGACCTGCGAATATTGCGCTTTCATCCTAAAGCATATAAAATTTACGGTGTCTGCTGGTTTGTTGCCTCCTTTAAATTCACATAATGTTCACTGACCTCTTAACAAGTTATTTAATATTTCATTTTTAACTGAAATTTAATAAAACTAAGATGCAAATTTAATCAAATCTTTCATGTAGTGTTTCACGTGTATTTATGTGAAAATTGTTGCTTTCTGTGCAGATATCGACGAATGTAAAGTGAACAACGGGGGTTGTTCTCACAGGTGCGTTAACAATGAAGGAAGTTTCCATTGCGCATGTCCGGTTGGAATGATCCAGCACCCTTTTGACCACCTACGCTGTCTGACCACCACTCAGATGTTCATTCAACTATTCAAGGAGATACACAGCACCAAAGGAATCCTCGCCAGAACAGCAGACGAAGTCTCAGGTGCACGCGTCAGTGAAGAGCTTCTCGAAGACTATTCCAAACAGTAAACAAACTGAACGAAGTATGGTATGTCAGAAATGCTCACGTTCATTTTGTATTGTGTTGCTCAAAACAGATGCTGTTTTAAACACTCGATGAATTGAAGCGATTACAATCGATCGATGCTTCATACATCGATTCATTTTACAGCGAGCATTTTGACAAATCAGAACTCGCCGTAGCGACAGAAAACTGCAGGAGTTCAACTACACACATCATTATTACAGTAGCCGTTTGCTCATTCCATATAACTGTCATTCAATCAGTTTTTAAGTAGTTTCGATCCCACTTATTCTTTTAGGTGACGGAGGGAGTGTCAGACGGTGTTCCAACGTTCCCCCATCCTGTGCCAGAATTCAAGCTTCGGTGGAAGTTAACCCGAATCTTGGGTAGTGTCTTTCGAGGCGAGATATTTGTTCTAGAACATTCTTTGTCGTCAATTGTTCAAGAAGCAACACTTTCTCCTTACTGAGGCATTCGCAAGCTGAGGCCAAACCCACAAATCCTCGACTTCTCCGGAGTCGTTTAGGACTAGAAAGGCCACTACTTCATT